CACCTCTATTTTAGCAATGTTTTGTGGTGTTCCTGGCATGCTGTCCTGCATTCTTCATTGAAATAGTGTTGATCCCTGGGCTTGATGGTAATGGTAGAGTAAAAGTTATGCTATGCCGTGAACACAGATTGTGAAGAAGGGTCTAGGCCTGAAACATCAGCCTTCCTGCTCCTCTGATGCTGCTTGGCCTGCTGTTTTCATCCAGCTCTACACCTTGTTATCTGACATTACTGGCTAGGCAGCATTTATTGCCCATCCCTAATTGCTCAGAGAGCAGTTAAGAGTCAACCACATTGCTGTGGGTCTGGAGTCACATGTAGGCCAGACCAGATAAGGATGGCAGTTTCCTTCCCTAAAGGACATTAGTGAACCAGATGGGTTTTCCCCAACAATCAGCAACGGTTCATTGAATTCACATCCCAACATCTGCCGTGGTGGGATGTGAGCCCAGGTCCCCAGAGCATTACCTGGGTCTCTGCGTCCAGCAACCCCATTTTGTCCGGCGCTCTGGCATTTCATTTCATACTATTTTCTGGCCTTCTTTCAGTTTCATTTCCCAGCTCTTTCTCATAAAACGTTACATTTATTCCTTTCAAGTATTTAAAAAGATGTTAAGAACTGTCTACTGTAATACATAATGTCTTCCTTTTTACACTCGAAGCTGTGTTTAAGTGTCCAAATCCTGACTCAGAAAGTGATCCACCCCCAGGTTTTGTTGTCATTCCCCAGCAAACCCCTCCCAACATCTTTCTAACAACTCAGTTGAAGAGATGAATAACTTCCAGCTTCTAATGATTGGCTGTGACAATCTCACCAACACTTCACAGTCACGATTCTCATGAGAGGAGCATGACCTCTCCCTTAGCTCTGCAAACCCTGGACAGTCCCAACCCACAAGTGAAGTGAATCATTTCAAGTGTTGACATCTTTTACCAACTTGGGACTAGCTAGTGGAACTTTCCTGCATCATTGACTAGCTTGTAATGACCCACTATTATTTCCACCGCATGATTTAAGAGATGTCTAAGGGAGAGAAGGAAGGTGGAAAGTAATACATAGCCTTGGAGCAGACTTAGCATAAGAAAATTTTCAGGGCTACGGGGAAGCAGCAGTGAAGTGAAACAAATTGGATGCTGTATCAAAGAGCTGCCACAGGCATGGATGTTTGAATAGCCTCCTTCGTTGCCTCTATCATTCTATATCCTAATTTTCCATATTGTTTTTCAATAAATGGTCCTGCTTTCCCTTCCATCCCCCATCCCCCATCCCCCCACTGTTTTCCCTGAAAGTGCTGACTCTCATTCAGTCGCAAAGACCCAGACTGCCTCTTTCCCTGAAGCGAGTGATTCTGGCTCGTATTACAGTTCAGATCAAGAAACAATGTTAGGGACTACATACCCAACAGCCTTCTTCCAAAGCTCAGCATTAACTGGCAGTGGGCTCTGCAGAGTCTGATTCAACACGACATGCTGGGTCTAGAAATTGAGACTGCATTTCCAACCCTTTTAGCTATCATTGTGGCATCACATACTGATTGCGTTCCAGTTACAACAAGACCGCACAAAACAGCAGGGAAACTGTGCAGAGGTAGTAAGAACTGCCGATGCTAGAGTCAGAGATAACACAGTGTGGAGCTGGAGGAACACAGCTGGCCAGGCAGCATCAGAGGAGCAGGAAAGCTGACGTTTCGAGTCGGGACCCTTCTTCAGAAATGGGGGAGGAGGAAGGGAGCTCTGAAATAAAGAGAGAGAGGAGAGGTGGGGCTGGGGATGGTAGTTCTGTACGTTCGAGACAAGCAGAGGTGTAGGTAGCATTTTCTCCCAGCTGCTAATAGAGATGAACATCATCAAGCATAAGTGCTTCTCATTAAGAATAAATCAGAACAGGAGCAGTCCATTGAGTCCCCTGAGCCTGTTCCTATATTAAATAAGATTTACCTGATTTGCCTGGAAAAGCTCAGCAGGTGTAGCAGTATCTGTGAAGAAAAAAATCAGGGTTAACGTTTCGGGTCTGGTGACTCTTCCACAGTTCCTCAGTTCTGAGGAACGGTCACCGGACCCGAAATGTTAATTCTGATTTTTTTTTCACAGATGCTGCCAGACCTGCTGAGCTTTTCCGGCAACTTCTGTTTTTGTTCCTGATTTACAGCACCTGCAGTTCTTTCAGTTTTTATTAAGATTTGCCTGATTATCTACTTCATCCTCCCTAACAGCATTTTGCAGCACCTACCCGAAATGAATTGCAATGGCACAAGAAAGCAATTCACCACCACTTTCTCAAGGGCAATGAGGGATTGGCTAGTAATTCTGCCCCTTGACAATGATGCTCACATCGCTTGAAAGAATAAATGAAACTCCACTTTTCTGTCCAATACCCATATCCCTTGGTTTCCAGAGTGTCCAAAAATCTATGAATCTGTGTTTAATACACTCAAGAAATTATCATCTTAATATTTTCTCTTTAACAGAAGTTACTGGAAAAAATACACATTTTGTTGAAGTTTTTTATCTTGCAATGACCAGGGCAATTTGCAAGAAACACCAATTTAAGTGGAAAAAACAATTTCATCCTGTTTTCTCCTTAAAGTGGTGTTTCTTGTGAATTGAATTCAAGATGAAAAGCTTCAACAAAATGTGTACTTTTTCCAGCAATACTGAAGTCCAGTACTACCCAATGATTTGTTACAAAAGATTGGATAGAAAATAGGCTATTTGAGGGTGGGAACTCATTTGATCTTATTCTGTGATCATTAATTTTCACCAACTCACTCTATCGCTTTTTCCCCCTTGTGCTCTTTTTGTTATAAACTTCAATCCTACCTCCAGCACCAAATCCCACTCATTCCCCCTTCACCGCCCACACCCAGTTGGGTCTCCATTTTCAACACCTCGATTTCAGAATGCTTTATTTTCAAATCTCCCCCATGGATTGTTTCTCTCCCCCTCTGACCTCTGCCACATCCACAGCCTGCCAACCCCCTAACCCAACCCTGACCTTTCATTGGGGCCCCTCCAATCCAGCTCTGCCTTCCACCTTGTCCCTTCACTTCGGTTCCATCCAATAATCCAGCCCCTAACCTTCAAAACTCTACTTAAAAGACCACTTCCTCCAGCAGATTCTTCATGTTGCAAGAATGGAAGCCCCATGCATGGACTGGTTTCCACTCAGAAAGTTGAAGGGAACTAGACATTCCCAGTATTATGCAGCAAAAGGGAAAACTCAGGTCAGTCAATCTACAATTTAATTCACTCTTCTAACTGACCTAGAGAAAACCTCGAGTTCCTATTTTTCTCGTAGAAACCTATAAAATTATATCAGGGTTAGACACGGTAGATGCACGAAGGATGTTCCTGATGATGGGGGAGTCCAGAACCAGGGGGGACTGTTTGAGGATACAGGGTAACCATTTTAGCACAGTGATCAGGAAAACTTTCTTCACCCAGAGAGTGATGAGCCTGTGGAATTCTCTGCTACAGAAAGCATTTGGGCCAAAACATTGTTTTCAAGAAGGAATTGGATGTAGCTCTTAGGTCTAAAGGAATCAAAGGATGTAAGGGAAAAGCAGGAACAGGAGACTGAGCTGGATGATCAGCTATGGAATGGCAGATCAGATCTGAAGGGCCAAAGGGCTTACCCCTGCTTCTATATTCTAAGTTTCTAAGGATTTGACACTGGAAAAGGGTAAAGGGAGGACGTATAGTTTGAGGCAGGTTAAGAGGTTAAGAAACAGTGAAAAAGTGAGCAAGGAAGGAGAGGATGATTTGGATGTGAGCATAGGAGGTATGGTTAGTAAGTTTGCAGATGACACCAAAATTGGTGGTGTGGTGGTCTGCCAAGAAGGTGAGAAACAAATTACTGCAGATGCTCTCTCTCCACGGACACTGTCTGACCCGCTGTGATCTCCAGCATTTGTTGTTTTCAGCCAAGATGGCTACTTCAAAATACAGTGGGACCTTGATCAGATGGGCCAATGGCCGAGGAGTGGCAGATGGAGTTTAATTTAGATAAATGTGAGGCGCTGCATTTCAGTAGGGCAAATCAGGCAGGACTTAAACACTTAATGGTAAGCTCCTAGGAAGTGTTGCTGAACAAAGAGACTTTGGAATGTAGGTTCATAGTTCCTTAGAAAGCAGAGTCATAGGTAGACAGGATAGTGAAGAAGGCATTTGGTATACTCTCTTTACTGGTCAGTACATTGAGTATAGGAGTTGGGAGGTCATGTTGAGGCTGTACAGGACATTGGTTAGGCCATTATTGAAATACTGTGCGCAATTCTGGTCTCCCTGCCACAGGAAGGATGCTGTGAAACTTGAGGGTTCAGGAAAGATTTACAAGGATGTTGCCAGGGTTGGAGGGTTTGAGCTATAGGGAGAGGCTGAATAGGCTGGGTCTTATTCCTCTGGAGTTTCGGAGGCTGAGGGATAAAAGTTCATAAAATCATGAGGGGCATGGATAGGATGAGTAGCCAAGGTCCTTTCCCCAGAGTAACAGCGTCCAAAATGGGAGGGGATAGGTTTAAGGTGAGAGGGGAAAGATTTAAAAGGGACCTAAGGGGCAACGTTTTCAGGCAGAGGGTGGCACGTGTACAGAATGAGCTGCCACAGGAAGTGGTGGAGGCTGGTACAATTACAACATTTAAAAGGCATCTGGATGGGTATATGAATAGGAAGGGTTTAGAGGGATATGGGCTAAATGCCTGGCAATGGGACTAGATTAATCCAGGATATTTGGTAGGCATGGACGAGTTGGACAGAAAGGTCTATTTCCATGCTGTACAGCTCTATGAGCTGAGAGAAAAGAGAATACAATGGAATTAGTGAGAGGCAGGTCGTATGACAAGGGAGTGCTGGGGAAGAACGAGGAAGGGGCAGGTAGAGGGTAGAGGGGCAGGTACAGGGTGTGTGGAAAGGGGGCAGGTGTGGGGTGTGGTGGGCGACAGTAGAGCTGGTCACACAGCCCATCATTGTCAGGTTAAAGCCCAGGGTCTGAGACTCATTTACCTGATGTCCTCCAGGAGCTCTGCCTCCTGCTGATGCTTGCTCTGTACTTTACACAACTGCTCCGAGAAGCTGAGCTTCACCTCCTGGCTCACGCGACCCTGCGGGTAAAATGAAGAAAGAATAGGTGATTAATCCTGTCTTTATGCCCCCTGCCCCTCTCCGCTCTCCTCCCCCCGGGCTCAGTCTCGGCTCACCTTTCTGGGGGGAGGCTGCATGTTGAGGCTCCGTCTCTCTCCCTTTCGGTCTGTATCCTGGTGTCTGTCACAGTGGCTATGCTCTCGAACTGTCTGTCTCTCTGTCTCCAACTCCCTGTTGCTGAAGAAGGGTCCCGACCCGAAACGTTGAGTCTCCTGTTCCTCTGATGCTGTTTGACGTGCTGTGTCCCTCCAGCTCCACACTGTTTCTCACCCGTTTCTCTCTCTCTGTTTGTTAATGTGTCTGTGTCTGTGTCTCTATCGCCGTTTTTTCTCTGTCTGTATCAGTTTGTTTCTCGATCCCTCTGTCTCTCTACCTCTATTTGTTTCTGTCTTTCTCTCCCTGAAACTCTTGTGTACGTCTGTCTCTCTCTCTGTCCCTGGGCTCTGCAATCACTAGGCACCGCCCACCACGGAAGCAGCTCCTGTTAAAGGGCCAGAGGCTATGGAGAGGAGGAACAGGGGTAGAATCTACCCCCATTAATCCCAGACAGCAATAATAACACCAGAGGAACCAAGTGTACAATAGCGACAGGTAAAAGGCAGCCTGAAAACTGGAGAGGGGGAGAGAGAGAGAGAGAAAGAGAAAGAGAAAGAAGGGGGGATGGAAAGAGGAAGAGCGAGAGGACGGAGGAGGGATGGAGGGAGCGAGGAAGGGGACAGTTGGGAGGGAGAGAGGATTGGAGATAGAGAAGGTGAGAGAGAGAGAGAGGTAAGGGGGAAGGAATGGAGGGAGGGAGGTAAAGAGAGAGGGGGAAGACTGAAAAAGTTAGGACAGAAAGGAGAGATGAAGAGATGGAGAGAAGGTTTAATGTTCCCTGTTTCTGTTATTTCTGCTTTCTCTTTCTCCTCCCTCATTATCATCAGAGCCAGAGGGAGAGAGTAAGATAGTGTGGCCCCTTGTGCTTACTTCATCATTTAATAAGTTAACCATTGCCCCCTCGTTCTCAATTCACCCTTGTTTCTTTTAAACATCACTTTTTTTTTATTTTTTGAGAGCTTCTCCCTAGTGACTCTACCCAGTCGCTCATGATTTTGAAAACCTCAATCCTCTCCAAGAAAACAATCCCAGATTCTTCAAACTATCCTCATGACGTTCCTCATTCCTAGAAACATTCTTGTAAATTGAAGGCTGCTGGGATATCCTGGAATTGAGAAGCATCCCTGGCAACATCTTTAAAAGGCCACGATGGACCTGAATAGGGGCTGCCAGTCCAGAGTTGCCCTTGGTGGTGTTCCTAATGTTTGCCCAGGACAAGGCAGACAGGGAGAAACACGTAGAGACTCAGAGATCCTTCTAGCTGGAGTGGTGCAGACGCTGGATGTTCTCTTTCCCCAGGACTGGCTGAGGAGAAAAAAATACCAAGATATGCCAGCCTTGTCTGAGGTTGCTCCCAGTTAAACACAATCTCAGCCGTCAGGAAGAATTTCCTACACTGTAGGAGGAAGGTCAATGTCTTTCTCTACTCTGCCAGTGTCAGTACTGATACCTCACCCTCTCTCTATCTCTGCCTCTGCATCCACCTCCCACCAAGGCTCAAGCTCTATCACTCGCACTATTGCCTGCAACATCTCCTCTCACTCGCCCTCGCCCACTCCGGCTCTGACACCACTAACCCTGCAGGCCCTCTGTGCTGCCTCCTCAATCTCTGTTGGAGCCTCATCATCTGCAACCAATAGTAACAGCCATACCATCCATCCACACTTCTCACTGCCTTGGGAAAAAAGACCCTGAACTACCTGTTGCCTGCCACTTCAATGCACCACCCTGCTCCCTGGCCAACATCTCTGTCTCCGGCTTGCTACAGTGTTCCAGTGAAGCCCAGCGCAAGCTGGAGGAACAACACCTCATTTTCCGCTTGGGGACCCTACAGCCCTCCGGACTCAATATTGAGTTCAATAATTTTAGGGCCTAAACTCTCCCATGTCCCAGCCCCCCACCCTACACACCAGGCCTTGTTGCCACATAGCCTGCCATTACACACCCCCTGTTGTTAGTCACTAACAGTCCCCATTAACAACTATTCACCCTCCCAGCCTGATCGTTAGCAACTCCTTTGTCTGTCCAACTGTCTTTCTCTCTCTTTGGGCTCTATCCTATCGTTTACTCCCTACCCCACCCACCTCCCTATTTTCTGCATATAAACTGACGATTTCCCAGCCACCATCAGTTCTGAGGAAGAGTCACCGGACCGGAAACGTTAACTCTGTTTTCTCCTCCACAGATGCTGCCAGACCTGCTGAGCTTTTCCAGCAACTTTGTTTTTGAGCTGTGCTATGAGCCTGTTATGTCTGGCTGAGGGACAAAGCTTAAAAAGGCGAGGCCAGACAGTGGAAGGCAGGTGCTGTAGGCTCAGAGTGGGTGAGGTCTATTAGAGCAAGTGAAAAGTCCAGGGGTACAGCCTGGTCCAGTCCATGAGCTCGATGTGTCTCCCTGAGGACTCAGTGTCCTTGCAGCAGTCTTTCAACGATAGCATTGGTGCAGCACTGAATTGCAGAATTGTCCTGTCAGTGGATCAGAGATGTGCCTTGAGGGGATTTAAAGGCTGGCAATTGTCAGATGCCAATGTCCATAGATGTGGGTCACCAACGGAGTCTGCCCTGAGATGTTGGTGCCCGCAGTCCAACAAGGAGCAAGTGATGAGCTGAATTTGGCGGCTACTTGAATGGGTGTAAATTGGGAAAGGGGAGTGTGCAGTGGGACCTGGGTGTCCTTGTGCACCAGTTGCTGAAGGTAAGCATGCAGGTGCAGCAGGCGGTAAAGAAGGCAAATGGTATGTTGGGGTTCATTGCGAGAGGTTTCGAGTACAGGAGCAGGGATGTGTTGTCACAGTTGTACAGAGCCTTGGTGAGGCCACACCTGGAATATTATGCGCAGTTTTGGTCCCCTTTTCTGAGGAAGGATACTCTTGCTCTCGAGGGAGTGCAGCGAAGGTTTACCAGGCTGATTCCGGGGGTGGCGAGCCTGACATATGAGGAGAGATTGACTGAGTCGGGATTGTTTTCGCTAGAGTTCAGACAAATGAGGGAAGTTCACAAAGAGATTTATAAAATTCTAACAGGACTGGACAGGGTGGATGCAGGGAGGATGTTCCCGATGGTGGGTGTGTCCAGAACCAGGGGTCACAGTATGAGGATTTGGGGAAGACAATTTAGGACGGAGATGAAGAGACATTTCTTCACCCAAAGAGTGGTGAGCCTATGGAATTCATTACCACAGGAAGTAGTTGATGCCAAAACATTGAATATATTCAAGAGGCGACTAGATATAGTACTTGGGGTGAATGGGAAGAAAGAAAGTTAGGCTATTAAGTTGGACGATCAGCCATGATCGTGAAGAATGGTGGACTAGGCTCGAAGGGCTGAATGGTCTCCTCCTGCTCCTATCTTCTATGTTATGTGCAGTGACTTCCATGTCAAGAATTCTCAGCATCGAGTTTGTTTGAATTGTTGCATTAATAAGGCAATTAATGAGCTACAATCCCATAACTGGAAACTCACCACTGCCATGTAGGAAACTCACTGCTCAGCAAATGTGTAAATTTGCAGCAAGTTGGTCTTGACTTGGTCCTTGTTGAATTTCCCACGTGATTATGCAAAAAATACATTCATAGACAATGCTCTTCATGAGATTCCGTCCTATGTCTCTGTTTTGAGAAGCCAGAGGAGAATTAATATTCTCACATTATTCCATTTGCCCTTCCTTTTGGTTATAATACACTCCCTACATTGCAAAAAGAGGTCATTTGGTCAGCACTGACCCTCTGAACAGAATCCCACCCAAAGCCAGCTCACTATTCCTACAACCCTACATTTACTGTGGCTAATCCACCCAAAACCAGTCCCCTATTCCTACATTTACTGTGGCTAATCCACCCAAAACCAGTCCCCTATTCCTACAACTACTGTGGCTAATCCACCCAAGTACACACTATGGGCAGTTTAGCATGGCCAAACCACCTAACCTGAACACCTTTGGACTGTGGGAGGAAACCAGAGCACTCAGCAGAAATGTACACAGACACAGGGAGAATGTGCAAACTCTGTACAGACAGTCACCTGAGGGTGGAATTGAACCCAAATCCCTGGAGCTGTGAGATAGTAGTGCTGACCACTGAGCCACCGTGCCATCCCTTATATGTTGACCCAAAATTACCAGTCTACCCTCTGATCTGTGAGGTCAACAGTATTTTAAAACACCTAACACAAAACAAAGAACTGCAGACTCTTGAAATCTGAAACAAAAACAGAAATTGCTGGAGAAACTCAGCAGATCTGGTAGAGTCTGTGGAGAGAAAGCAGAGTTGATGTTTCAAGTCCAGTGACCCTTCTTAGTCACTTCTAAAGAAGGATCACTGAACTCGAAACATTAGCTGTTTCTCTGTCCACAGTTGCTGCCAGACCTGCTGGGTTTCTCCAGCAATTTCTGTTTTTATTTTAAAATATCTTCTTGATGTTTGGGTGCCTCCTATCAGTCTGGTATTTATTGCCCATCCTTGCTCAACCCTAAAAGGTACTGATGGACCATTTTCTTGAACCACTCACTGCAAATTGATTTATAAATAAAGGGTTTTGCTGGAATGCTCCAGACTCAACCATGTTGATGTGGATTTGGGTTTCATCTGGACCCAGATTGCATTGAGCTGGAAGATTTCCTTCTCTAAAGGGCATTGGTGAGTGAGCTGTTTGGGTTTTACTGCAATCCAAAACTTCATTGTCACTTTTACCAAGACCAGGTTTTTCACTTGAGTTACAAACTTTGTGAAGGGCATTGCGCTCTCATTGAAACCCAACTGGTTTGCACCCAGGAGCAGAAGATGACCTGTCTCCTTTGCTTACTCTACACTTGTGTTGACCAACAGATATTGTTGACTCATCACAGAAGTTGCTATGGCAACACTGTGTTAACCACAAGCATTAATTTTGGTTGGAAGCCATTTACCTACAACACAGACTACTCCACTTCGCATGATTATCTTTAGCCAAGAACAAACATCTCTCAGCATTCTGTTACTAAGGAAATTAAGAACTCACAACATTCAAAAACCATTTGCACACTCTACACTGCAGCCAAACATCTGCACAACCTGATTAACAAGAAACAGCTGCTGCTTCAAACTGCTCCATGGGTCATTGAACAGCAAATCCAGGTAAGCATTCCGAGTGAAGTACTGGGGGAGCGCC